GACTGCGACAACACCCTCGTCCTCTCCGAGGAACTCGCCTTCGAGGCCTGCGCCGACCTCATCAACGAGATCTGCGCCTCCCGCAACATCGAGCAGCGCTTCACGGGCGAATCCCTCATCAAGGAGTTCGTCGGCCAAAACTTCCGCGGCATGCTCCTCGGCCTCGCCAAGTCCCACAACTTTGAGCTCCAACCCGACGAGCTCGAAAAGTACGTCACCCGCGAAGAGGACGCCGTCATCGCCAAGCTCAAAGCCGCACTCAAACCCTGCCCGGGCGTCGACGACCAGCTCGAGGCGCTGCAAAAGGCCGGCAAGCATACCCTGTCCGTCGTCTCCTCGTCCGCCAAGCGCCGCGTCTGGGCGTCCGTCGTGAAAGTCGGGCAGGACAAGTACTTCCCCGAGGACGTCGTCTTCAGCGCCGCCACGTCGCTTCCCAAGCCCACCAGCAAGCCCGACCCGGCCATCTACCTGCACGCCATGAAGACGCTCGGCAAGAAGCCCGAAGAGTGCGTCGCCATCGAGGACTCCAAGAGCGGCACGCTCAGCGGCACGCGCGCGGGGATCAAGGTGATTGGGTACGTCGGCCCCTACGCCGCCGACAAGCAGGCGGAGATGGAGAAGGTGCTGCGCGATGCCGGGGCCGTGGTCGTCATGAAGGACTGGAGCGAGTTCCCCGACATGCTGGCCAAGATTGAGAGCGGGAGCGCCTGACTAGCCGGGGTTTCTATCCCGTCGCCTTCTCTGTGAGGTTGAGGCTGCGGCGATGTCGAGGGATCATGATGGCTTCCATCTCCCTACCAAACCCCTTATATTTTCTTCCCATTTCTGTTTAAGTGTTCAAATCGTTAGCCAGGACCGACAGCGTTCCAATTATTGGAAGCGCTTTGTCAAACTAGCCCACTCAGGAGAGAGATGGAATCCAGGTAGACTCAAGACTAGTAAAAAGAGACCTTTTCATCTTCGGTGGTCCATGAGAAAGCTGTTGACACTCTGCAACGTAGCCCGGTTCGCATTGGCCTCTGGATATGCCGTCATGATTGTCCCCAGCTTTACCCGGATCATGTCCTTGTTGAAAAACGTCGTCGAGTCCGCCACGCGAAACTTGCCGTCCCGGTCGAAGCACCAGCAGTAAATGGCCAGCGCGACGCCAATAGATAGATCCTTGCCCGTCTCGCAGGCCACGAGGACGCTGCCACTGCTGCTGCTGTCGCCCTCGGCAGCGCCCTCTACTACATCACGATGCGAGTCGAGGTACTCCGCGACAAAGGCGCAGATATCCGGCAGCGCCTGCCGGAGATTGCGACTCGCGACCTTGTGCTTCCCGAGGCCGACTTGCATGTACGTCGGAGATTTCACCCACGCGTCCCGCGGCGTGACGTCCTGTGTTAGTACGACTCTGCACGCACCCGCGGACACAGCATCCGTACCACCACTGCTGTCTTCCTCATCGTCCAGGGGTAAAGGACAGACGTAGATCCACGGCGCAACTCGCTTCGGCTGCACCCCTCTCGGCGCATTCCTCTTGTCCTCCGCGACGAGACGAACAACCAGTTCCGGGAGATCGGCCTCGGGACACGAGAGCAGCGCCGCGGCGTTCTCCCAAAAGACTTCGGCTGTCAGACCGAGGGCCCAGTTCTCCGTGTCGTCGCCGGCGCCTTGGATGTACCCGGCCTCGCTCATTTCCGTACCGGCGACGCGGCGCGAGGAGGTGCAGCAGATGATGGGGTGGTAATCTCCGAAAACCACGTTCTTCGCAGACTCGTCATCATCGCCCGCAGACGCGGATAACGACGGAAGCTGCGTCTCTTGCGTGACCCAAAATGGCCGCAGGGGCTTGGAGACGTGCGCACGGAGAGCCGCGAGATCGAGGTCGAGGCTCTTGAGGGAAGCGAGGAAGGACGGAAGGAGGGCAGCGATTTGGGCGTGTTCCGAGGCCGAGACGACGTTGGGCGGGGTGAAGAGGCGGAGCTCGCGCGCCGGGTCGAGGTCTGGGAAGAGGGCTGCGTTAAGGACGGCGCACCAGATTGGAATGGTTTTGCTTAGGGCGTCTGGCATTCCTGGGAGTCGTGTTAGTCTTGAGCTTCGTGGATGTGCTGATGTATGAGTCTGATGATGTGGACTTACTCTTGCCTCTGCGGGTTGAATCTACAATGATGCATCTAGATTCTCAGTCAGCTCTGCTCTTATTAGAAGCAGTTTATATCCAAAGCCTCTTCCTCTTATGAACGCACTCATGCCACCATCATCGAAGTTCAAAAACACCACCATAAAACTCACCCATCATGCTTCCCAACAAGCTCAAGCAAATGCAAATTCAACCTGCGCGTACTAAACTTCCAGGCATTCGTATGCCCATCCGTACTCTTAAAGTACGCGCTTGCCCGCTTGTCCGCAGGTCGAATATACCAGCTCCCGCAGCGCTCGTTCGCCACAAGCGGACGACCGAAACTGGCCGCGACATCCTGCACAAAGTCGGCGTCCTGCGTGATAGAGCGAAGCCGGTTCGCGATGGAGAGGTTAGAGCGCTTGAGGTCCGTGAGGATGTGGGAAAAGTTGTGGTTCGCCGTCGTGGGGAAGATGAGGTCTGAGAGGGCGGGTGCTGCGGCGGCGGGGTGTGTGTTTTGCGCCATGTTTCCCGGTTGAAGCTTTGGAGGGGTAGGGCGCTCCAGGATAGAACAGGGGTGTGTTTGGATTGAAGCTATCTCATCCAAGATGAAATTGAGTGAGGTTGGAAGGGGTTGTACAAGATTGGCACTGTCTAGGGCTCGAAATGAGGCACGTCTCGGTCGTGAAATTTCCAATGTGGACGACCCTATTTTGCACTGTGCTTGCGCTTGAATATGGCGCGAAAACAGTGTCACTCGATACTGTATGGGTGCGAGGCGACTCATTCATCGCATTTCATTTGGATAACACCGATTATAAGATTGTGAGGTCATGTTTCAAGGCACTCATTCTGCAGGTTTAGCAGATGAAAGTTTGATGAGTTGATGCCAAGGGTTGAATGAGATTCAATGGGATCAGAGACATCGGAGATATTGTTAAGAGACATTGAATGAGGCTTCATTCTCATGTCCGTGCTGAATTCCAGGTGCATTCAGCCGCAAGCTAGGGATCGCTGGCATGCCTCACTCAGATGTCGTCCCAAGATGATCAAAGTTCTGTGCTGCTGCTGCCGCCACCACCGCCGCCGGCGGGCTCTCTCGGGCCGGACTTGAGAGTCGGTAACGCCGACGAGTTGAAGACGGAGAAGATGATGGAAACACCGGAATGTCGAGGATATCTCCCCGCCTTTTTTTTTTCGTCGTAAAGATGCGCCGGCAGATGGTATATTGGCAACACGCAAGCAAGCGTGGCTATGTTGGGTACAGCCAAGATGGGCGACGTAACTGTCGCTCGCTTCCTCGCTCGCTTGCTTGCTGCGCGGGCGAGATGCTTTCTCTGTACCCCAGCAATAGCTTGTGCCCGTACTGCGGCCGTGGGTGGATGGGGACCCGTCTTTACATAGCGTCGGGCGGCGAAGACTTACGCCATTATATCCACCCTACGGATACATCAGTGACTTTACTTTCCTGGCGCAAGGGCATCTGGTGCGCTCTTCCCGCTGTGCTGCTCTGGTGATCAGACCAACAGCTCTCTTGATGTAGGAGAGTAACGGACAGAGAGATTCGTCTAGCTGGAGGCGGACTCGGGGTTCCCGTCTGTCAAGATCAAGGTCTTCGTTGTGGAATAGACTACAATTCCATGGGCTCTCAAGGTTCCGAGGCTCTTGAGGCCCTCTCTTCTCTCGTCTCGTACAAGAGACAACAGTTGCCCTGTGACCAAACAATGCAAGGCCGATTGAACCTTGAGAGTCGCAATCCCGGCGTACGGAGCAGACGGTAGGGAGGGAAGCGCTGGGCGGCTTAGCCGTTGTGCGCGTGGACCACCCGGAATGCGGCGGCAGCGGGCTCGTGTTAGCTTCCTCATCTTGCTAGGTTCTCCGAAGATTGAAGACGGCTGAGGTGTCAGTCAGTGTCAATTGTCAGTGTCGCGCGCAATTCTGTGGCGGCTCCGCCGCGATGACAGTACCCAGTCCGTTCGCAAAAAGACGATATTCTCCAGAAGCTCTAACGGGCGGTCGTCTTGTCTCGTCTCGTCTGCCGTGGGTTGCCGTCCAAGGAATAGAGGTCCATTATCGTCTGCAGGTTGTCATCATTGATGATCGCCGTCCGGCCATTTCTCCCCCTGCTGCCGCGCATCACCCCAGACAACCGTGACAACCAGGGACGTTTTAGCATGCAGCAAAAAAGCAGCAGCAAAGCAACCGCGAAGCAACGACCAATCCAACGCCAGACAACGTCAGACGAAAATCAGGGCTCGCTGGCTTCGGTAGGAGAAACAACGGCGCGTCAGCCATTGGCTTGCGCCGGTCGACGGTTGAGAAATACGAAAAAGCACCATACCATTGAACTGGTGCGTGGCTTCCTCCCCTCGGTAGGCTCTCTGTACCTTGAACGTCGTCCCTTTGGCTAGCATGCGGCGACACCAAGTACATGGACACATGGTGAACCATAGGGCCACAGGGCAAAGGGGACAGAAAAGGTAAAAAAAAAGAGACGGGTTCGAACTATTCGCTCGGGGAGGCGTGGCGTGCAGGGATCTATTGCTCAGCTGGTCGCACTTGAGGGACGATAATTCGCTGCCTGGGCCGCAGTGGCGCAGTGTAAACCCAGCGGTTGAGTGGCTTGGTTCAACCCAAGTTTCCGCAGTCTGCCTCATCCCAACCCGTGTGCCTGTGTGGAATCCATCCGTTCATGGAGTGTCCTTGGATCATGGGCCGTGAGTTCGCATTGGTGTCCGTCCCATTTGCGCGTAGAGGTTCCGCAGCATCGGGGCTGCAAAATGACCGTAGGAGGGATCCTGGTTGAAGCCTCAAGGTTAGTATCAAGACGAGAAGATGATTACGGAGTACACTGCAGTGCAATGTGGAATGATTACATACCTCAAGGTACCTTGCCTTAACTCACAGCAAACTTCGAATTGCTAAGGTAAGGCAAGGCAGGGAAGGCAAAGACCAAAGATGACGGGAGCTTCAGGCGCGGCTTGGACCCACCCCTCTGCCAGGCGTCCACTCCACCGCCCACTGCTACAGTAAGGTAAGAGGGAACGAGTCGTTGCCCACTGAATCCACGTCTCGTCACTGCCGCAATTCGAGGCCAGCTAGGGCTGTTTCGTTTTAAAGACAAGAAAAGGCAGACGCGTCCCCCAAAAGCCACTTTGCTCCTTCTGTTTCTGATTTCCCGTCTATTACCTCCCATCTTCCTCACACTCACCTCACCTCACTCACATACCTCCAAGCTTTCTCTCACGGATAGTTTCCAGTGTTTTTGACAATCAGCGAACAGCATCTCACCTCGCCCTCGACACTCGTTCCCACAACCCGAACAACCCAAGCCAGCGAGCTACCTATCTTACATCATTACAGCGGGTTCCCTTATCGATTGGCCCCCCAAAACCCCCCGTCCACTGGTTCCGATCCCTGGGTTGTCTCGCCAAACCCCGTTGCCGAGCCGGATTGAGTTTGATCTTTATTTAGAAGGGGAAAAAAGGCCAGGGGAGCAACAGTCGCATAGCTGACAACCTCCTCTCATCCAACATCCCCCTTTCGATCACAAACGTAGGGAAACCCTACTAGATCACCAACAAACCCGACATATTCGACGACTCGACGACAAACATGCTCGGAAACCTCGACTTTGACCCGGAATACGTCCCCGGCGTCAAGCTCGGTCTGCACATCTTCCAGTTCATTCTGTCCTTCGCCATTTGGGCATTGGAAATTGCAGTGTTTAGAGCCGATAACGCAAAAATCGTCGGCAACAATGGCTGGACTTTTGGAGTGGTAAGGCAACCTGACAGGAAAATGAGTCCTGTATTTTGGCAAGGTATGCAAATCGCTGACAGTCGCATCGCAGTGCTTCCTTTCGCTACCAGCGTGGATCTACCTGATTATGGCGCCGCGGTGGCCGAGAACGAGAAAACTGGCCAACCCCTACGCTATGGCCATCGTAGATGCATGCTTCTGCATCATCTGGCTTTCTGCCTTCGCAAGTCAGGCCGCCTACAACACGGCCAACCAGTGCGGTGACGGCTGCAAGCTCAGCAAGGCCATTGTCGGCTTGGGTGTTTTCGTGTGGTAAGTCATCAGAGAATGTGGATCGCAGCTATTCAGGCAATGATGCTAACAGCACTTTGGCAGCCTTCTCTTCGGAGGCAGCACCTTTGTCAGTCTGTACACTCTGAAGTACTACCAGTTCCACGGCAAGCTCCCCGGCTACGACAAGGAGAAGCTCGGCGGAGACAACATCGACCCCGACAAGGCCGCCTTCTCCATGGCACCCCACGACGAGGAGGCATACGCCCCCGTCCAGATGGATGACCACAACGACGACAACACAACGCTCTACGGCGGCAACGCCACCGGCAACCACGGATACGCCAACAACAGCTACAACAGTCGCTACGGCGCCGGCAGCTCGGCCTACGGCGAGGATGACGACCCGAACCGCTACGGATCCCTCCCCTCGCGCCAGAACGGTGCCATGTTCGACAGCGAGACCGAGTACCACTCTCAAACTCATCCCCAGAGGCCCACCTCCACCAGCCCCGCGGCGGCGGTACAACCGTACTCCGCCCCTGAGCCGTATGGCGCAGCGCCTGCTTACGACGACGACCGGCCGGCGCAGTTCCCTTCTGCGCCCTACGATCGCACGATGCATTAAGATGAATATCCTATTCTTTCAATGGGATAGTATTCCAGTGTGAAGGATTTGTGATGGCAGGGCCACAGCCCGAGCAAAACCTAGGCCGGTTTTGGGTTGACGAAGGCGGACGGACTGTGCTGTCCAGTGTTCACATAGATGGGCTTGGATTTTTATTTTCCGGATTACGGGGTGTTGTTGGCGTCCCATTTGTAACAAAGGTAATCGCAAAGATACCAGGCATGAAGCTCTCTCTAGGTAGACATCAAATTTGATGACATGACGATTAAAAGTCAATGATGAAAAATGATCAGCTTGCTTTCGTAGTGAACATGTGGAATATTGTGTTTTATGCCAAAAAGATTTGATCTGAAAACGCCATAACTCCTCAAAGGGGGAACACAACAGTATTTCCTCTATGGCCAGGCTCTTACCACCGACCAACATGTAATATGAACGACTCCTTTTGGAACTTTTTCTTTCCTTCCATGCCCTCCCTCTCTGTAAATGCTTTCTTCCCCTCCCCTCTACTTCCTTCCTTCCATTTTCCCCCCTTCTCATCTACACTGCGTCTCCTCTCCCGAAAAGATTTACGCCTTGCCAGTAAACCTCTTCACCCGGCGCGCGATATCGCCCTTCGTCTGCTGCATGGGGTTCAACTTGCGATCCCGCACCATGGCATCGTAATCGTCGCCGTGCTTGGCAATCAACCTCTCGAGCCATTCTTTCTCCTGCTGGCTAATGTGTCGCGGCTTCTTGATCTCGGGGAGGGCGGCTTCCTTTTCGAGGAGGCGGATGACTTCGGGTCTGCTCTCGTCGTCGATGCCACCCCATTCTTCTTCGTTCTCCTCTTCGTCGTCGGATCCTTCTTCGAGGGCGTTCAGGGGGTCGTTGAGGGGGTTGGGACGCTTATTGGCGCTGGCGTAGTGGATCTTGATGATTTTGCCGTCGGCGTCGCGCTCGACGCGGGCTTCTTCGAAGACGGCTTCTTCGGTTGTGGAGATGGCGAAGGGGTCGCGCTTGGCGGCGGTGGAGGAGGAGGAGGCAGTCTTTGCTTGCTCGAGTTGGGCGAGTGTCTTTTCTGTGCCGCCTGTTGCTGATTTGAGGCGGGCTGTGAGGCCTAGGCGGCGGTAGTTTTGGGTGAGGGTTTCCTTCTTGTTCCTGGACGACAATGGGTGGTCAGCACAAATTGTGTTTCTCTCTCGGTAGTGGGATCTAGACGTAGAGGTTCGGGCAGTTCAAAGGGGCGACGAGTGTGTGTGTGTGTGTGTGTGTGTGTGTGTGTGTGCGTGTGTCTGCGTACCAGTTCTTTGCGATGATGTCGTTGCCGAGAGGGTTGAGGAGCTTCTTGGGCCTGTTTGTCTTGACTTTGGCGCGGCCGGAGCGGCGCTTCTTCTTTTGGAGGACGGAACCCATTGTAAGACGATTGTCTTTTTTTCGGAGAAGGTGAAGGAGGTGGTGGGATGCGGGATCAACAGTGCCTTGGGTAAGGTAGAATTAACGAGGTACGAGGTGGCCGGGCGCAAAGCAGGTTGGCTAGAGGTTGCTCAAGTTGCCGCTTCTCGAATTTTTTGTTAATCTTATCTTATCGGGGGAGGGGCCGCTTGGCTCGTATCGGGCTTAGCGTGGTTCGACGTGCAGGTGCTGATATATACACCGAGATTCACCGAGATCCACCGACACCTGACCGAGATTCGTCTTTCTCACCTGAATGTGATGCCTTTAGTTCCGTGCCGTACTTGAGGTATTCAAGTTCCTTGGAGTCTCTTTTTTTTTGTAGAAATTAACTTCATTATAAATTACGACAGATCCAAGGCGTTCTGGGTAGGTTGTTTGAGAGGAGGGTGAGGTCGAGTCCTCATGGATGGCTTTAATCGAATCTTCTCGCGGATATCGCCTAAGAAGCTTTAGGACTCTCTCCATTCTAACCTTCTCTATTATCGTATCAACATTTTTTGAGTGTTACTTTCTTTCAAATCATAGCCGTTCGTTGGGACACACTGTTTACAAGCAGTAAAAGAAACGCCGATATCTTTACAATCTGTATTCCAGCGTTCTTGCCTCTCACGCAGCTGTCGATACCTTAAAGTAGGCAGGTAGGTGCCTTGCGCGTGGCACATCCCACCTGCGCCTTCATGTATATTCGCCCTGAACATCACAATACACCACATATGAAGCCCATATAGGCCCCCTCAATACCATTCTCGTCACCAGCAACAGCAGGCGCTCCTCTAGGCCGGGGGGTCAGGTCAAACTTGACTGGGTGGTGGAGTGGTTCGTTGTCAACAATTAAAATCTACGCCATTCAGCCTACTCGACAACAGGCTAAGCGCATACGAGAGTTCACGAGTTCGAATTCCAGCATAAGCACTAGATATTTCGAGTTCCCAGCATGAGCACCAAGAGATGTAGCCCCCAGTTCAGCACCGGGGGGGTGAACTCTTTTTTGGCTTCTCTTGTATCGGTTCGACCTATATCGTGGGGACTACGGCCTAGCACAGGGTTGGAGGATGAGGATCGCGGTTGCGAAAGAGTGATTAGCCCTTCGGCTAGATAGATAGACGTGCGCGGCAAGCTGTGATGATTCATCCCACGCCAACCATGGAGGAATCGACTCAGATTTGTGATGTTGTTATCCATTATTAGTTCTGGCTCTTGAAGCTGGAGAATGTTTTCTCAGAAGCGATTGACTATTTGAGATGGTCGCTTGGCGCTTTTCATTGGCTGTTGTCCAACTGATAGGTCAAGCTCGTAAGGGCGGATGAGAACTTCCTGTGATGATGGATCGCACACCTTCATGTGTGAACTTACACTGTGGTTCAAATCTCTGGACATCCCATTTTCACGATCGATAGAACTCTGGCTTAAAATCTCATCGCAATCAAAGCGTAATCTCATTCATGTCATGAATTATTTTCATTCAGCGTAAAATAGCAGATGGTATATAAGCCCTTTACATATCCACAGGTCATCCACACAAGGTCGTCATCCCTTCAACACACAAAACCCCTTACACCAGCTTCCAGACACCGTCGTTGACCTCAATCTTGATCTCACGGTTCTCGTCGATACTTTTCCTGCCGGCGTGGAGGATAGCCGTGGTGGCGATGGTGTTCTTGAGGGTAGGCAAACCCTTGGCATCGAGATCCTTGGGCTTGAGCTGGCCAGAGTTGACCTGCCGGCAGCCGTCGACGAACTTCTCGAGCGAGATATAGCCGTAGCCCGTCTGGCCGTTGAAGTTTCCGTCCTCGTCGGGCGCGTAGCGCATGTAAAAGGGGTTGTACCACATGAGCTGGCCCGCCGAGTCGTCGGCGACGTCGTAGCCGCGCTTGGCCTGGTCGACGCGGATCTCGCCGTTGGCGGCGAGGTAGTGGAAGTACTGGTTCGAGTGGACGCCCGCGCGCTGGGGCGCGGTCCAGCTGGCGGTGTAGACGCCCGTGGCCTTTTTGGATGGGTCGCCCTTCTTCTCCCAGTGGACGAGGACGGAGATTGTGTCCTCGGTGGCCGGGTCGCAGCCGAGGTCGGTGGCGATGCCCTTTGACGCCGAGGCGGAGACC